TGATTCGTCAAACCTGCTTTCCTGCAGTCCGTGTTCTTCTGACTTCTGACTATTTTGTAGTAAGTAACGAATATGCTTCGGGGAAATGTATCGGAGTAAAAGTATACATTTAATTAGGAAATGTAGTGGAGTAAAAGTAAAAGTTGGCTGAAATATAAAAACCTCAAGTAAAGTACAGATACTCCCAAAAAATACTTAAGTACTGTAACGAAGTATTATTACTTCGTTACATTACACCACTGGAAAAGACATACACATAAAATACATTTTACGTGTATACATAGTGTTGGCCAAAATTATTAGAACACCCAATTGCTGCAAAAAGTGGACATACCAAATATTAAAGTTAAAAGTGGATAAAAACAGTACGACTCACTTCATCTGATGTTTGTTGTGCTCAGAGCAACCATCTGCACGTTTCATGAACATTATGAAATCAAATCAAGTTCTGGAGGCAAAAAATGGTCAATATTTTCAGATCTGTCAGGTGTTCTAACAATTCTGGCCACCATTGTAAGTCATCTCATAAATGATCAGTCAGTTACAATCAGATGCAAATTAAACAGTTACAATTAGATAAACCAAAAAATCTAATCATTTCAAATTACCTTGAATTCTTTTAACAAGACCAACTCTTGAACACATTATGTTCTAACCGAATCCAGAAAAATTAAGCAGCATATCTAAAGACCCTTTTGCCCATAGTCATTTGGACCAGCTGCTGGGTGACTAATAGATATAAATAATACAGCAATAATAATTGCTGTAAATAATAATAATAAAGACAAACAAAAGTCCATCTCTCCCATTGGAATCAAAATAGGTGACCTCTGCTCTGTAAACATCCATCTCAGTATTTCCCTTTTGAAAATAACAACTGGAAATAGATCGCAAAAGTATTTAGTATTTTTAGTTTGTGCACTCTTTCCACATTTCTTTTGCACATGAGATAGATAACTTGGAAACATGGTGAAAAATATATCTAGTTGGTTTTTGACTTTTAAATAAAACTATAACAGGGATAATAACTCACAATGTTAATGAAGTGTTATTATTAATATAAGACTAATATTAACTTTATTTATCCCCCAGGGGAAACTGTTACTAATGACGGGAATTAACTGAACTGTTATTGTAATCAACTGTCATCCATACATATTCATTTTAATAATCTTTTTAATAATTCATCTGATTTTAAATGTGGCCTGAGAATGTCTATTATTTTGGTTTGTGAGATCAGAGATCGCGCTGCGCACACATACATATAAACATTCAGGAGTACAGAAACTTGTTGTCAATGCTGCCCTGTGACTTTTTATTAATAAAATAGCTTACAGGATCGCTACATTATATTCATCAGCAATGAGGAGGTAAAATCGCTGTGTTTGAATTAACTAAACTCACAGCTTCATTGTTTGTAGAGAGACGTGCAGAAGCTGGTAATTCACATATGCAACTGTCACCTCTCTCTCGATCAATCGAATAATTTATTCAAGTAGCTAAATGTTTGAAATAATTACTTCAAATAAATGTGATCTGATCTTACTGTACTATTTCTTCGCGTCAGGTAGTTCTTGCATTAAAATCGCATAATGCACAGCTAGCCGTGCATTATCCCTTATGTATTTGCTCTTTTAGCAGCATTTTTACTGCAATATTTAAATTGTCATTCTTGGTGTACCCAAAATGCTTTTACACTATCGCCTTCATGCATTTCTCTGGTGGAAATAAAGCTTCGCTGTTTGGTCCCTCTGTCATAGTTAATCTAGTGTGTGTAGTAGCCTCCGTGTCTCTGATAAGCACGCCACTTAAGTTGGTGCACCGCTGGTGTAACTTTGTTTTTGTTTTGTGTAAATTAATTGCAATGCTTCTGAAGAGAGGAAGAGTGGAAGACTTGTATGTTCTGAGGAAGAAGTGGATGAGGCAGTGCAGCTGCATATGGAGACTCCAAAAAGGACATTGCACTGGGGGATTGTCCTTTCCAGCTACCAAAACTCAAGTCATGGCAGATTTTACTCTGGACGAAATAAGGGCAGTGGTGGAGAAAGCTCAAGCAGGACATTCTGAAACCACCCATAGGATCTATAATAACTGCCCAAAGCTGCTGAAGAGGTTAGCAAAGCTTCTATAGAGTCTTTGGAAGAAGAAGTCGGAACCCTGACTCTGGACACTCGCTGAGGGCTGCTTTGTTTGTAAGGAGCTGGACTCATCAGGACTTGACCAGTTTCGGGAGATCTCCCTGCTGGATGTTAAAGGGAAAATATTCTGGTCCATCATTACTAATAGGCTAATATCTTAACTATCTCATCCTATCTCGCCAGTGAGTATGTCGACACAAGTGTCCAAAAAGGAGGTGTCCCAGGATACTCCGGATGCCTGGAGCATACATCAGTGATTAGCCAGATCATCAAGGAGGCAAAGAGGAACAACAAAACACTCCCAGTCGTTTGGCTAGACCTCGCCAAAGCCTAACCCAGAGTACTTCACAAGCTTATCCATAAGGCACTGGACGACTACCAAGTACCATCGGAAGTAGTCAAGCTTGTAATGTCTCACGTGGATTCGCTGAAAATGAGGTACACAGTGGGAAACTTTACCACCAAGTGGCTGAGGCTTGAGAAGAGTTTCATGGCAGGATGCACAATATCCGTGGCTTTGTTTGTGGCTGCCATGAACCTATTGCTCAAGGTAGAAGGAAAGCAATGGAAAGCGCCAGTAGTGTACTATGGCACAAGATGTCAAGTCTGCAGAGCCTTCATGGACGATATTTCTGTAATGACTTCATCGATCCAGGGAACTCGGTAGATCCTAAGTTCACTGGAAAAGATGACCACCTGGTCACAGATGCAATTTAAACCAGGTAAATCTAAGAGCCTGTGTGTCCTGAAAGGACGGATGAAGGATGTTGAGGAATACCTTTAGTATTCAAAGGACCAACTACTGAAGAACGAGGAATCTGACGCTTGGGGAAGTGCTATGACTACACTCTGAAAGAAAGCACCAATCTTCAGAATACCATAGCTCAACTGACCGTTTGACTCAATGAAATTGACAACAGCCAGCCGCTTGCGAGCTTTAAGGTATGGTGCTTCCAGTATGGCATCATGCAGGTTTGTGTGAAGATGGCTGGGTGTTCCTCCTTTAGCTCAGTCAATCTGTACAGCAAGACTTCCAAGCTCCGCTCACCAGTCTCATCGGTGGTGAAAGAATTCAAAGCCAAGGCAAGAGCAACCAGCACACTGCTACTGTCTAAGGATGAGAAGTTTTGACATGCAAAAAAACTGTCAATCATGGCATGAAGTGGAAGCCACAGGAGGCAGTGAGGGAAACGGAATCATACTGGAAACATCAGGAAATCATTGGCATGATCTGCCAAGGATGACTGGGACTGGGAACCTACAAAACAAGAGCCAAAGGTAAGAAGACACTTGTGGGTCAGAGAGGCCGGCTTGTAAAAACAGTAGGGTTCTCCTCTCAGGGGCAGTGGATGCAGTGGGATCAGGCCCTCGAGCGTTCGCTGTCCTGGAGGGAACTCTTGAGTGCTGACCAAGGCAAATTGATCTTCCTCTTGCATGCTGTAGATGACCGATTACCAACTCCAAACAACCTAAAGATCTGGGGCCATGATTCTGCAAGCAGGATGTCCCAACGCAGTGGGAGAAGGTCACCACAAATGGAGACATGACAAGGTTCTTGTTGAAATTGCCAAATGCACAGACTTCCAGAGGGTCAAAGCCAATAAATTTCAGGCCCCACCACCCAGAGGAGTCAGTTTCCTAAAGCAAGGAGACAAGACTCCCAAGATAAGAAGAACTGACGGTACCCTGCCCAGTGGCAGCTCAAGGTGGTTGTGGTTAATGAGAGATCACAGTTGGACCCCTTCTGCAGGTGAAGGCTGATCTGGTGTTTGCTGACACACTCAGGTGAAGCATACAGGTTGAGGGGCAAAACACTCATGACCCTGAGATGACTGCTGAAGATGCGGAGGGATTTCCAAAAGTACGAGTGCTCTGACCACGCTGCCAACGACTGCCACAAACAGGAATATATCACATCCGTAGTTGCTCCTGCAGTTTCTGCTTGTGGTAAAGCATCGCTGATGATTATCTCATCTATATTTGAAATGTTTTTGGTGTTGTTTTTTCAAAACAAATGTTAAACACCAAACCGATCTTGTACTCCCATTACATGGTATGGAAATGATAAACAACTTGATCATCATAATACATTACTAACATGAAAATTTCAGTCACATTTTATTTTAAAGGTGACATATCATGAAAATCTGACTTTTCCAGGTTTTAAGTGCTATAATCAGGTCCCCGGTGCATCTACCAACCAATGAAACGGGAAAAAGATTAACCCAGTAACTTAGTTTTGGGAAGCCTTTTTCTGCAAGCATCTGAGAAAACGAGCGCGTCTGATTTCGCTCCCTCTGTGCCATGGCAAAGGGATCTCATTATAATATTACCGCCCCTTAATCTGTAAGTTTACACCCACGGCACCGTTATTTTGATTTCGCAAGCGACAACGGTGTACTAGCTCTAATGCCATGATGAAAGTTTGAGCAAAGCATGCTAACTGTTCTGTGTTTGGCTGCACAGACGAGCACAGAACACTGTTTAGAGTCCCAGCCTCAGAGGAGACAAGAGAGCAGTGCATTTATTGATTTATTTACTGTATATTGCTGCTGCCACACAGATCTAAAATAAACATGAGATTTATTTCCAGGCTGTTTACCTTCACAGACATAACCCACTGTTTTTGTAACTCATGTGTGTTTTTAACGTAAACTTATGTGTGAAAGAGAACTTAGTTTAGTACTCACATGCTGTGACAGCCGCTTTCTGTGCGTGTGCTTTGGATGTGTGCACTCAGAAAACCCTATATCATAAGTTTAAACTAATATTGTTTAAAACGCATGATTTCAGCACAATAAACATGATAGTCAGAACCAAAACAGATGTTTTTAGCATGTTTTATTACATATTGTAAAATGGGGCATAATATGTCTCCTTTAAGGTCCAATTCTTGCTATTAACAAACCATTAACTACAACTTTTACCTCAGTAAACTCCTAATTTGCTGCTTACTAATAGTTAGTAAAGTAGTTGTTAAGTTTAGGTATTGGGTAGGATTGGGGATGCAGAATACGGTCATGCAGAGTTGTTTTTTTTTAACAGACCAACAAATCACATTTCATGAAGAACCAATTAAAGCTGTAAGATGAGTCAAAAAAAGTGTTTTGACAAAATTATAAATGAGTGAAAAGCTACCTGCTAGTTAAACCTAGGCTATTCAGTAAAAATAAAAGAGAAAAGCTAAAATTAATAGGGATTGAAGTAGTGATTGGCACAAGAAACGTTAAGACCAACTAAAATTTCATAACATTTCTGTGAGTGACAGATTAAACCACACTAGTATCTGCATGAGTGACTTGGTCACTCAGTGTTATTATAATGCCATTCATAATGAAGTTTCTGGAAAGTAATCTTGTTTTCCGTACCGTTCTCAGGTTTTGTGTGAGCTCATCAATACTCTGTGTAAGGACAAGCCTGTGAAGAAGATCCAGAGCTCCAGCATGGCTTTCAAACAGATGGAGCAGATCTCACAGTTCCTCAATGCTGCGGAGAAATACGGCGTCGTCAAAACCGACATGTTTCAGACCGTAGATCTGTGGGAGGGTGAGTTCAACAAAAGAAATATATATTTGTGATAAACATTCAAATCCCATGTCAAAATTCACCATTCGATATATGTGTTTAAATGATCATTGTTTACATTTCTGTATTAACTTAACATTATCAGCTAACTTTAAATAAGTTTGTTAAATAAAGTTGAATAATTTTTAATGTATGGCATGAGACAAAGCAAAACTAAACTAGAACTAGGTTATCATTTGTGCAGTAATCATTTGCGTAATTAAATCTGAAATGCTTTAATTTTATTACATTTTTTTCAAATATCACCTCTGTTATGGGCAAAAGCATCCTTTTTATTGCATAATATTTCTTAGTACAAAGTAGTTATGTCTAGTAGGTCTAGTTATTAACCAATTTTGCATTAACCTTCAACCCAGTAATATCTACGGTAGGGATATGCGTATCGTTCCTGAAGTATCGAAATATCGATACTGATGCGAGTATCAAAAGTATCGATACTCAAATAAAAAATATAATTACTAAGGTGTGTTTTATTTACCAGTGATTTTGTTTATTTGACAAAAAATGTATGCATACAATATGCATTGAATTGGATGAATAACCTATGTTAGCAAATAATTGTGTAGGATAGAACTATTTTCCTGCTCATCTGAACATACGCAAATGTTGCAAGACAGAACCAATCAATAACATTGAGCATTCACTCACTGCTGACAGTGCATTCAAACGGGGCTGCGTTTCCCAAAAGTATCATAAGAAAGCATTAAAGCTTTTGGGAACGGCAGCCCTGAACAATTCCTGCTCATCTGAACATACGCAAATGTTGTAAGACAGAACCAATCAATCAATGTTAATATAAATCATACACTGTTAGAATAAAAAGGTTGCATTTTATGCATGCAACAGCCTGTCACTGGCAGTCCCTTATGAAAATGAACCATGGTGTTACTAGTGACCTAGTTCAGCTATAGTATTTGTATTTCCATGGTTACCAATACAGTAAATATATTTTAACCAAGTGTAAACAAAAATATGACCTAATGAGTTGCAATAAAGGCGTATTGAATGTTCAAATGCATTTCAAATATAAAGTGAAGTGGGTATCATACCCATTTTAGTAATTGAACAATTTAATAAATTTAAAGTTCAGTTTAGAAGTATCATATCGGTATCGATATCGACGATACTGGCCTTTAAAAGTATCGTATTGTATCGAAAAAAAATAAGTTGTATCGCCCATCCCTACCCTACGGTGGCACATGCAAATTAAGAAAACATCTTCATCTGTTTGACAGCACATGTGCTGCAAATACTCACAACACAACACAACCAAACACAGAAATGCACTGCAAATTGCCTACTCACAACACAAATACGAAGAAGCTGCAAATATGCACAGACTACATCGGAAATGTTTAAGGGAACCGCAACAAGTGACGAACCTGGCTGGGATATGCTTATAAATGTCTGCTCTGAAACGTGAGATTTTTGTGTATTTTAACATCCTGATCATATAATTCCTTAGGTTTTTTTTTTTTTTAAGCTGACGAAATACTACACAATTACTGCAACTGTGAAATGTAAGCTGGATACTTTTAACTTAAAAAAATAACCATGGTTTTACTATTCAAATAAATAAATAAATAGCCTATATATTATATATATTTTTAATTATTATATAAAAAATAAATACAAATAAATAATAGTTACTATAGTTAAACCATGGTAAATTAACCACACTAACCTAGTTTAACCATGGTATTTGTACAACTGTTATACAAATGGTGATCAATACATGGTTACTACTTCTACTATAATAAAATCATGGTTAGTTTTCGTAAGCATTGTTGGGGTCCCCTTTGTGGTCTGTGCTACTTGCAGCTCGTTTTTTGGTTGTGTTGTGAGTATTTGCAGCAAAACTGATGAATATGTTTTCTTAATTTGCTGGTGCTTTTTCTATTTGCATGTGTTTTCTTAAATTGCAGTGCGTTGAGCTCTCTCGGCCACCGTAAATATCGCCCATCCATCCATTCTCTAAACCGCTTGTCTTTTTTCTTTTCTTTTCCAAGATGTAGCTGAGTTTTTCTTTATTGGGGAATTGGAGAAATGTCTCAGCAATGGATGCTCTGCAGTGAATGGGTTCCGTCAGAATGAGAGTCCAAACAGCTGATAAAAACATCACAATAATCCACAAGGAATCCACAGCACTCCAGTCCATCAGTTAACATCTGGAGAAGACAAAAGCTGAAACAAATCCATCAAGACGTTTTTAACTAGAATCCCAGTCCATAATCCATAATAACGCTTCCTCCAGTGAATATAAAAACATCTTAATGCTGGATTTGTTTCAGCTTTTGTCTTCTCCAGATGTTAACTGATGGACTGGAGTGCTGTGGATTACTTGTGGATTATTGTGATGTTTTTATCAGCTGTTTGGACTCTCATTCTGACGGCACCCATTCACTGCAGAGCATCCATTGCTGAGACACTGATGCAATGACACATTTTAAACAAATTTTTGGGTGAACTATTCCTTTAATATGTTAGTATGATACTGCCTTTTTTTTTCAATTTCTTTTACCTTTGTAATAGGGTTAAAATAATAATGCTTTCGGTTTAGAATCAGTAACAATAATTATTAGCACATTAGTAAAAAAAATAAAAATAAATAACTATTAGAAAAAAACATTTGATACTTTGGGCCTGAGGTGTGGAAGATATTATTTCTTATAAGTTCAACAATAACCTTTCAAATGAAATGATCCTGACAACAACCCAGTTGTAGAATATTTTAAATCAGAGTTGAAATAAAACACTTATGTGAAATGTATGTGAAAAATGCTCTCCAAACTGAAAAAGACAAAACCGAGCTTGATGAGGAATGCAGCAAATGTGCTGATTATATCCTGATCTCTGACACAGGAGAATGTAAAATGATTTCTAATGCTACTGTAACAAATGTTTTAAATAGTGTTTTAACCGTTCAGAGAGGGATGTTACATTCAAACCAAAATAATAACCCTTGACTTGTATCCATAATTCCAAATTCCAAAAAACAAGTATCTTTTTGAATATTTACCACTGGACATATTTACCTTGGACTATGGTTCCTGTTAAAACAAACAAACATACATTCAACATCTAATCAATCAGGTTAGAACAAATGCAGGAATCACTCCCTGCTAGATCCCAGAATTCAAGAAAATCAAAACAGTTAAGATCTCTGTGCACCTTTATAGCTTGTTTGCATAAATGAGCTGTGCTTTAATCATGCTGCTGCTGCTGTGACGTCAGGAAAGGACTTGGCCGCGGTGCAGAGGACTCTCATGGCTCTTGGCAGCCTCGCCGTTACTAAAGATGAGGGCAGCTTCCGTGGAGATCCCAGCTGGTTCTTCAAGTGAGCACCAACGATCACCGGCTCATAGATCAAATCTGTATTTCATTACTGTTGACGTTAAATATCTGCTCTCTGTCTGCTTGCAGGAAAGCTCAGGAGAACCGGAGAGATTTCTCTGATGACCAGCTGAAAGAAGGGAAGAGTGTCATAGGTCTGCAGATGGGGTCCAATAAAGGGGCGACCCAGTCCGGCATGACGGGCTACGGCAGACCTCGACAGATCATGAACCCATGAGCCAAGCACTCGCCAGTCCTTCCCTCGGTTCCCTGAGCGTCCCAGCTGATCAGAGCAACATTGTAATAAATATAGACTCCACTCAGTACTAAAACAAGTTTCCACACCCAGTGTCAGTCCCTACTTGTATGATATTTGGTCTAATTAAAATGTTCTTTGTTGAACAGAGTAGAATTGAGCGTTTCATCTGAGTGCAACATGACTGACTGTGCGGTCTAACCTTCAGCTATCTGCAAATCAACATCACATCAAAATGATCCCTATTTACTCCTATTGTAGTGCATGTTAATGCAAACAAAATTTAACTTGCTCTACTTATGAAACGTCTTGTCTTTTAGGCCGATTTCACTGATCAAGCTTATATTTCACTACCTGTCATACAGAAAGACTTCTTAGCAACCAATCAATTCCTCAAAGTCAGCTTCACTCGCCTCAGAAATGAACTGGCATGCTATCAACATTTTGTGTTGATTTTAAGAGCTCGTCTAAAATCACATAACACTGTAACCCATGCAGAGATCACGGAGATAATAAAACAGTTTCCCTTTTGTTTTTATTCAGACCACATATGAGTTCTTGTTCACAAGAATACCACACTTCAGTGTAAAAAAAAAAAAAGAAAGAAAAAAAGGCTAGATTCAGTAAAACGTCTGCAGGTGAGCAGACCTCCAGTTTAAATGATCTCTTCCCGTCTTTCAAAGTTCAAGTGTCAAGAGGTATTTATACTCAGAAAAGACCTAATAGTGACACATTCAATGCATCACGATCAAGAAAGAAGTCATTGTATCATTCACTCAGCCAATCACATCACACATTCCCTCAATCATATATGCAAATACTGCACTCTTATAAGATAACATTATCATGAACACATTAGCAAATAAATCACAGAAAACAAAAGGAGGCAACTCAAAATAGAGCTTTTGCTCACATGCTCAAACAAAACCGAAGCGCGACCTGAAATTTCAAATGAAAAAAATGGAGACAAAAAGAGAGAGCCGGTTTTCCCTGAGTGCTACGTGTTCTCATCAGCAGCAATGAGCGGGACTTTAGACTCATGGTCCATCTCGGGCTGGATTTCCACCACTTGACTGTCCTCTAGGCCCGTAGATCCGGCCTGAAAGCCTCTGTGCCGTCCCATGCCGCTCATTCTGCACCCGCGCCAGTCCCAGTGAGTGAGGGTCACCTCCAGAGTGTAATAGAGCGACCAGAAGAGAGCGAAACAGCCCAGCAGCAGGAGAGACTGCAGACCACAAAACAACACCTTGACCATCAGTTACTGGCTACTCATTCATTCAACAGCTTACATAACATGCTGATTTGCTCTTCAAGAAACATTTATTATTATCAATATTTAAAACAGTCGAGTACATTTTTTGCATCCACAGTTCAATACGCGCTTGTGAATTGCAGTTTTGCGTTTAAATAATATCCGCGTGTTTTATTACTCTCAGAATTGGCTCTGTGTGTGTGTGTGTGTGTGTGTCCGTGAGTTCACATGTTGAGATGAGGAAACACCTCTCCACTTATATTTGAAAAAGCAACACACATCTTCCCTTGTAATGACATGCAACGATAAGCACAACATTAGTTGAGTGTTTGAAATAACTTCCTTTTGTGATCTGATGTGGCTTCCTATCCCAGAATGAGGCAGAAAATATATTCTATACTGTAATAAAGGCTATGTTGATTAGAAATGGCTTGCAAATATACTTAATCATTATGAAAATACCCGAGATGGCTTGAAGAACACAGATAAACCATATATTGTCGCAGGAGAGCGTTTATTGTCCTTACATTTCATCATTCAAAACGGTTAAAGTTAAAGTTATATCTTCTTTTTATTTAGTTACAAAGATAGCGATGCCTTTATCCACATTAGGGATTTCCTGGAACGTCATCAGTTCTATTACATCTGTGATGCATATGTGGATTTTCTGCGCGAGGGCACCCTCTGGCGTCCAGTATGAATGAAGCAGACATATAATAATCCATGCTTTTTCCAGTGTACAGAGGTTTACAGGAGGTTTTTGTTGTTAATTTGTTGTAAAAAAACACTCTGATGTGCCCAGCCATCAGAACCGAACCGAAAACCGTGGTTAAAAACCGAGGTACGTATTGAACCGTGGACTAACTGTATTGTTGCATCCCTAGTGTAAGCCATACAGTAGTTCTACACGTGAAGACACACCTTCAGGCTGCTCGAGGTGAACGGGCTCACAATTTCAGGAGGAACGTCTATACCAGGAGGGCAGGGAAGAGCAAACCTTCTGTCCAGATACTGTCCACCCATGGCGTCTTCAACAACCCTGACAATTCAAGCAAACATACATACACATACAGTATTATTCAAACTAAACTGGCAAACAAGATTCAGTGGCAGGACTCAAGGATCATATGGAAACACTTTAGCATGAGGAACACATTCACTATTAACTACAACTTTTGCCTCAATAAACTCCTAATTTACTTCTTATTATTAGTCAGTAAGGTAGTTGTTCAGTTTAGGTATGTGGTAGATTAAGGATCCAAAATATGTTCATGCAGAGTAAGGCATTAATATGTGCTTTATAAGTACTAATAAACAGCCAATGTGATATATGCATGCTAATAAGCAACTAGTTAGCAGTGAGAACTGAACCTTAAAATGAAGTGTTACCGATTATACCGCTAAAGCTCAAGAATATATTTAATAGACCAGATATCCTAAAATATCCTCAAATAAATGCAACGGGTTTCAGTCGTCTATGGCTCACCTCCGTCTCTCTTTCACCTGCTGATGAGAAAGAGATGAGCCGTACAGAGTGAGTTTCCAGTGCTTCAGGACTCCCGATGACAGAGTCGACTCTTCTGAAAGACAGAAACACAGATGATGCGTTAGTTTCTTTGTTTTTATTGCCATACCAGCATCTATGCTATTTTCACTGAACAGCAGTGCTACAGAAGAGAAAGGAACTTGCAGACTTAACAGCACAAACCTGCAAACAATGCTACACAACATGGAGCTAAAGCATTAAACCTCAAATAGCATCTGTCCAGTGTTCTGGTGTGAATCAGGAGAGAAATCTGCACAGATCAAGCAGCGTTTAAACAGCTCTAAACACATATGTGGCTGGATTTTGATGCGAGAGACAACAGCAGATGCACTTTTTCACTGGAGGAAGCGTTATTATGGATTATGGACTCGTATAAAAACATCTTAATGCTGGATTTGTTTCAGCTTTTGTCTTCTCCAGATGTTAACTGATGGACTGGAGTGCTGTGGATTACTTGTGGATTATTGTGATGTTTTTATCAGCTGTTTGGACTCTCATTCTGACGGCACCCATTCACTGCAGAGCATCCATTGCTGAGACACTGATGCAATGACACATTTTAAACAAATTTTTGGGTGAACTATTCCTTTAATATGTTAGTATGATACTGCCTTTTTTTTTCAATTTCTTTTACCTTTGTAATAGGGTTAAAATAATAATGCTTTCGGTTTAGAATCAGTAACAATAATTATTAGCACATTAGTAAAAAAAATAAAAATAAATAACTATTAGAAAAAAACATTTGATACTTTGGGCCTGAGGTGTGGAAGATATTATTTCTTATAAGTTCAACAATAACCTTTCAAATGAAATGATCCTGACAACAACCCAGTTGTAGAATATTTTAAATCAGAGTTGAAATAAAACACTTATGTGAAATGTATGTGAAAAATGCTCTCCAAACTGAAAAAGACAAAACCGAGCTTGATGAGGAATGCAGCAAATGTGCTGATTATATCCTGATCTCTGACACAGGAGAATGTAAAATGATTTCTAATGCTACTGTAACAAATGTTTTAAATAGTGTTTTAACCGTTCAGAGAGGGATGTTACATTCAAACCAAAATAATAACCCTTGACTTGTATCCATAATTCCAAATTCCAAAAAACAAGTATCTTTTTGAATATTTACCACTGGACATATTTACCTTGGACTATGGTTCCTGTTAAAACAAACAAACATACATTCAACATCTAATCAATCAGGTTAGAACAAATGCAGGAATCACTCCCTGCTAGATCCCAGAATTCAAGAAAATCAAAACAGTTAAGATCTCTGTGCACCTTTATAGCTTGTTTGCATAAATGAGCTGTGCTTTAATCATGCTGCTGCTGCTGTGACGTCAGGAAAGGACTTGGCCGCGGTGCAGAGGACTCTCATGGCTCTTGGCAGCCTCGCCGTTACTAAAGATGAGGGCAGCTTCCGTGGAGATCCCAGCTGGTTCTTCAAGTGAGCACCAACGATCACCGGCTCATAGATCAAATCTGTATTTCATTACTGTTGACGTTAAATATCTGCTCTCTGTCTGCTTGCAGGAAAGCTCAGGAGAACCGGAGAGATTTCTCTGATGACCAGCTGAAAGAAGGGAAGAGTGTCATAGGTCTGCAGATGGGGTCCAATAAAGGGGCGACCCAGTCCGGCATGACGGGCTACGGCAGACCTCGACAGATCATGAACCCATGAGCCAAGCACTCGCCAGTCCTTCCCTCGGTTCCCTGAGCGTCCCAGCTGATCAGAGCAACATTGTAATAAATATAGACTCCACTCAGTACTAAAACAAGTTTCCACACCCAGTGTCAGTCCCTACTTGTATGATATTTGGTCTAATTAAAATGTTCTTTGTTGAACAGAGTAGAATTGAGCGTTTCATCTGAGTGCAACATGACTGACTGTGCGGTCTAACCTTCAGCTATCTGCAAATCAACATCACATCAAAATGATCCCTATTTACTCCTATTGTAGTGCATGTTAATGCAAACAAAATTTAACTTGCTCTACTTATGAAACGTCTTGTCTTTTAGGCCGATTTCACTGATCAAGCTTATATTTCACTACCTGTCATACAGAAAGACTTCTTAGCAACCAATCAATTCCTCAAAGTCAGCTTCACTCGCCTCAGAAATGAACTGGCATGCTATCAACATTTTGTGTTGATTTTAAGAGCTCGTCTAAAATCACATAACACTGTAACCCATGCAGACATACTAAAACACTTTCCCTTTTTGTTTTTATTCAAACCTCATCTGAGTTCTTGTTCACAAGAATACCACACTTCAGTGTAAAAAAAAAAAAAAGAAAGAAAAAAAGGCTAGATTCAGTAAAACGTCTGCAGGTGAGCAGACCTCCAGTTTAAATGATCTCTTCCCGTCTTTCAAAATTCAAGTGTCAAGAGGTATTTATACTCAGAAAAGACCTAATAGTGACACATTCAATGCATCACGATCAAGAAAGAAGTCATTGTATCATTCACTCAGCCAATCACATCACACATTCCCTCAATCATATATGCAAATACTGCACTCTTATAAGATAACATTATCATGAACACATTAGCAAATAAATCACAGAAAACAAAAGGAGGCAACTCAAAATAGAGCTTTTGCTCACATGCTCAAACAAAACCGAAGCGCGACCTGAAATTTCAAATGAAAAAAATGGAGACAAAAAGAGAGAGCCGGTTTTCCCTGAGTGCTACGTGTTCTCATCAGCAGCAATGAGCGGGACTTTAGACTCATGGTCCATCTCGGGCTGGATTTCCACCACTTGACTGTCCTCTAGGCCCGTAGATCCGGCCTGAAAGCCTCTGTGCCGTCCCATGCCGCTCATTCTGCACCCGCGCCAGTCCCAGTGAGTGAGGGTCACCTCCAGAGTGTAATAGAGCGACCAGAAGAGAGCGAAACAGCCCAGCAGCAGGAGAGACTGCAGACCACAAAACAACACCTTGACCATCAGTTACTGGCTACTCATTCATTCAACAGCTTACATAACATGCTGATTTGCTCTTCAAGAAACATTTATTATTATCAATATTTAAAACAGTCGAGTACATTTTTTGCATCCACAGTTCAATACGCGCTTGTGAATTGCAGTTTTGCGTTTAAATAATATCCGCGTGTTTTATTACTCTCAGAATTGGCTCTGTGTGTGTGTGTGTGTGTGTGTCCGTGAGTTCACATGTTGAGATGAGGAAACACCTCTCCACTTATATTTGAAAAAGCAACACACATCTTCCCTTGTAATGACATGCAACGATAAGCACAACATTAGTTGAGTGTTTGAAATAACTTCCTTTTGTGATCTGATGTGGCTTCCTATCCCAGAATGAGGCAGAAAATATATTCTATACTGTAATAAAGGCTATGTTGATTAGAAATGGCTTGCAAATATACTTAATCATTATGAAAATACCCGAGATGGCTTGAAGAACACAGATAAACCATATATTGTCGCAGGAGAGCGTTTATTGTCCTTACATTTCATCATTCAAAACGGTTAAAGTTAAAGTTATATCTTCTTTTTATTTAGTTACAAAGATAGCGATGCCTTTATCCACATTAGGGATTTCCTGGAACGTCATCAGTTCTATTACATCTGTGATGCATATGTGGATTTTCTGCGCGAGGGCACCCTCTGGCGTCCAGTATGAATGAAGCAGACATATAATAATCCATGCTTTTTCCAGTGTACAGAGGTTTACAGGAGGTTTTTGTTGTTAATTTGTTGTAAAAAAACACTCTGATGTGCCCAGCCATCAGAACCGAACCGAAAACCGTGGTTAAAAACCGAGGTACGTATTGAACCGTGGACTAACTGTATTGTTGCATCCCTAGTGTAAGCCATACAGTAGTTCTACACGTGAAGACACACCTTCAGGCTGCTCGAGGTGAACGGGCTCACAATTTCAGGAGGAACGTCTATACCAGGAGGGCAGGGAAGAGCAAACCTTCTGTCCAGATACTGTCCACCCATGGCGTCTTCAACAACCCTGACAATTCAAGCAAACATACATACACATACAGTATTATTCAAACTAAACTGGCAAACAAGATTCAGTGGCAGGACTCAAGGATCATATGGAAACACTTTAGCATGAGGAACACATTCACTATTAACTACAACTTTTGCCTCAATAAACTCCTAATTTACTTCTTATTATTAGTCAGTAAGGTAGTTGTTCAGTTTAGGTATGTGGTAGATTAAGGATCCAAAATATGTTCATGCAGAGTAAGGCATTAATATGTGCTTTATAAGTACTAATAAACAGCCAATGTGATATATGCATGCTAATAAGCAACTAGTTAGCAGTGAGAACTGAACCTTAAAATGAAGTGTTACCGATTATACCGCTAAAGCTCAAGAATATATTTAATAGACCAGATATCCTAAAATATCCTCAAATAAATGCAACGGGTTTCAGTCGTCTATGGCTCACCTCCGTCTCTCTTTCACCTGCTGATGAGAAAGAGATGAGCCGTACAGAGTGAGTTTCCAGTGCTTCAGGACTCCCGATGACAGAGTCGACTCTTCTGAAAGACAGAAACACAGATGATGCGTTAGTTTCTTTGTTTTTATTGCCATACCAGCATCTATGCTATTTTCACTGAACAGCAGTGCTACAGAAGAGAAATGAACTTGCAGACTTAACAGCACAAACCTGCAAACAATGCTACACAACATGGAGCTAAAGCATTAAACCTCAAATAGCATCTGTCCTTTGCTCATTCCAAATTACTCAAGGGGTTCAGAGATCGACAGCTGAGCATGATAACAAGTTATACAACACACTGACATTCATTATAACAAATACACACTTTTCTAATAATTAATTAATCATTTTAGCCTAACTGCATTAGGGGGCATTCACACAGAGTGTTTTTACTTTGAAAAACACAAGACGCGAGCAGTAGAATGGGGAAAAACGCAAGGCCTTGAGACGTGTTTTGTTAAAGTTTAACTTATTTTAACTCGAGAGCTGTGTTTTTAGACTGCTGTATCATGCACAAGACGCTGCAAATGACACAAGACATGAGCACAATGCTCAAACACATCCATCTAGCATGTATTTATGTAGAAAACCAATGGGAAAGTAGTGCAGTGGAATGGAAAAACACATTCTTTTTTTTTTGGCTAAGGTACTGCTTTATAATCGATACTCAGGTACTACAGTTTGGTTTTATATCAAAGCTTTGACAAAACATGAACTGCAATCTTTTCAAATATCCCCTGGGAAACCATTAGTCTCGCTAAACATAGGGTGTAAATATCACGTCCTTTTAGTTATCCTCTCTAGTATTGCTTGCAGAAAAGGAAATCTGTTTCTTTGCCCTTGCAAGTTTTGTTTCATTTCAAAACCATTTCGTTTCAGTTCATACTTGCTGGCGTTTTTGTGGACGGGTTTTACTCATGAAACACTTTGCAAAGACCAAAACATTGCTTTGCCAAAGGGTCACTGTTTTTCAGGTACAGGTTAGCTTTTTTAGTTAGCCTCTGCTAAAAAATGCCAATATGCCAGCTATATATATTGTCTTTTTTTGCAAGAATAGTCCAATAGCTGCTAGTAAATGACTTGGGATTATGCATGTTCTTGTGGTGCTATCAGCCTTTACTGTATTTTGAAGATGCTTTCTTGATGCTAAGTAGGGCTGTCAAAAAAAAATTGAATTTTGAATATTCGTCGAATTTAAAATACAAATCCACATTTGAATGCAAAAACGTTGCATTCGAATTTTTGGTGTGCGTCAGGCTGCCTTATCAGTGGACACAAGATGCAATGACGATATAAGTGTTGTTGCATTTTAATGTTTTGTTAGCCTATCCAGCTGAAGCCACTAGATGATGCGCTGTTATGTTGTTCATTCAAAATATTGCAGTAAAAGAGAACTTCAATGCGGAGAAGATGTTGTTTACGTCAAAACTGAAACCAAGCCGTTCACACAGAACACATATTTATCGCATTTTCTAGAGGGACATCTATCACCATTGCACTCGCGTCTCGCACAAGAGAGCTGCATGTTTAGAAAGCCATGTAAAATTAATGTAAGTTCAACTTTTAAAAAACACGTCTCGAGACTTTATGGCGGTTTTCCCCATCCCACTGCATCTCATGCTTTTAAATAAAGAAAGCACTCTTTGTGATTGGTTTTCAGTCCTTTGTATTAAACTATACATACATGCATGATGCTGTTTTGTTTCTAATTGTTTAAGCAACTTAATTTTATATATGGTTTATAATAAATGATAATTATAATAGATTTTTCCGTACATTTCTGCCATATGTACATTGACAGTCACCACTGATAAGCTACCACTAAATATTGTAGAAACTTAATTTGCTGTAAAGTTGCTTTGCAACTATTTGTATAATGAAAAGCACTATACAAATAAACTTGAATTGAATTGAATTGAATTGAAAATTGAATTATAACCATTATGCACTTTTTTCAAAGATAGTCGTGTTATTTTATTGCTTTGAATAAACGTGCTTTAGTAATATTTTGCTCGATGCGTCCTCTTGTGGCCTCAGGAGAGAAGCCAAAAGCTTTTTTCCCCCTAACTGAAATTATGCCTTTTAAATTCTAATTTAATTTGAATATTGATAATATTTAAGTACAAAATTCGAATTTAGTTTTTCAGCCATTCTGACAGCCCTAATGCTAAGGGTAACGGCTGATGAAGTGAAGTCTTGCACTAAAAACGAAGTGCATTTCAAGATGAGTTGAGTAGTGATGTGTAGACTGTGCTGTCTTACTATAGTCGGTGATCTGTAGAGTGTACTGTCCCTCGGCTCTTTCTCCCCAGCATCGCACAGTGGAAAACGTCCAGTCTGTGAATCCAGTCGTATCTCTAGTCAAACAACAAAACGGGCATTAAAAGCGGTCTCACAGGTTCAGAAGGCATGTGTGTGGAGTGAGTCAGAAGTGTGGGGACACTCACACATCCAGCGATCTCCGGGCCCCGATCAGAGAGCTCATTCCACTGGGACAGACGAGCCGGATCTCCACGTTCCCGCGCCGCGGATGGACGATAGTCACAGTAACAGACACGTGCTCCAGCGTCTGCATGCCAGACTGCCTCAGATCAGACAGAGAGACTATGAACCAAAGAGATTCAAATGAAAAAGAACGGTTGATATGCTTTTAGCTTTATTTTGCATAAAGCAAAAATGCAACAGCAACCATTGATATGAAGCAATTACAAAGAGAGCAGAAGAGCATTCACACATGGCACTGTGGTCCACATTTACATCTGAATACTAGTTAACCTACATGCAAAGTCTAGCATTAAACCGCTTAAATAATCAGGTTTTAGTCAAACATGAAACTTGCACCAAGCCAGACAAATGTTAAACAGAGTGAGTAATTCAGTCCAATTAATTTG